CGGTGACCGACCGGTTTTTGTGGGCGGGTTCGAAAAAGTGAGCTGGTGACCGAACAGTTGTGGGTGGCTGGGGCCGAAAAAGCAACCCAGTGAGTGATCGGTTGTCGGTGGGCGGGGCCGAAAAAGAGACCTGTTGATTGACCAGTTGTCGGTGGCTGGGGCTGAAAAAGTGACCCAGTGACCGACCTGTGGTGGGTGGGTGGGGTCGATTCCGTAATCGACCTGTTGTTGGTGGGTGGGGAAAAAAAATTGATTCCCTTATCGACCACTTTTTTGTGGCCAAGGCCGAAAAAGCGACCCGGTGACCGACCGGTTGTTGTGGGCGGGTCCAAAAAAGTGACCCGGTGACCGACCTGTTGTGGGTGGGCAGGGCCGAAAAAGCGACCCGGTGACCGACCCGTTGTCGGTGGGCGCGGATGAAAAAGCGACCCTGTGACCAACCTGTTGTCGGTGGGTGGGCGGGCTGGGCGAGGGCCCCAGGGGCCGACTGGTGGAGGGCAGGCCGGGCCTGACGAGGGCCCTGGGGACCAACCGGAGGTTGGCGGATTGGGCTGGGCGAGGGCCCCGGGACCAACCGGTGGTGGTAGGGCGGGGCCAGGCGAGGGCCCAGGGGGTCGACAGGTGGTGGGCGGGCCGAGACAGGCGAGGGCCCAGGGGGCTGTCTGGTGGCGGGCTTGCCGGGCCAGGCAAGGGTCCCGGGGGCCGATCTGTGGTGGCCGTGCCGGGCCGGGCAAGGGCCCTGGGGGCCGACCGGTGGTGGGCAAGCCTGGCCAGGCAAGGGTCCCGGGGGCTGACCGGTGGTGGGCGGGCAGAGCTGGGCGAGGGCCCCAGGGGCCGACTGGTGATAGGGCGGGCCGGGCGAGGGCCCCGGGGGCCAACTGGTAGTGGGACGGGCCAGGCCGGGCGAGGGCCGTGGGGGGCGTAGCAGTGGTGGGCGGGCCGGGCCAGGCGAGGGGCCCGGGGGCCGACCGGTGGTTGTAGGGCGGGGCCAGGGGTGGGCCCCGGGGGCTGACCAGTGGTGGGCTGGCTGGGCCGGGCGAGGGCCCCGAAGGCCGACTGTTGGTTGGAGGGCCAGACCTGATGAGGGCCCTGGGGCCGACCGGAGGTGGGCGGGCCTGGCCTAACGATGGCCCCAGGGGCCGACCAGTGGTGGGCGGGCCAGGCTGGGCAAGGGGCCTGAGGGCTGACTGATGGTGGGTGGGCAGGACCAGGCAAGGGCCCCGGGGGCCCACCGGTGGTGGGCAGGTCAGGCCGGAGCGGGGCCCCGGGGTCGACCGGTGGTGGGCAGGCCGGGCCGGGCAAGGGCCCCAGGGACCGACCGGCGGTGGGTGAGCTGGGCCATGCAAGGGCCCCGGGGGCCGACCGGCGGTGAGTGGCTCGGGCTGGACGAGGTCCCCGGGGGCCAACTGGTGGTGGACAGGCCGGGCCAGGCGAGGGCCCCAGGGGCCGACTGGTGGTTGGCGGGCGGAGCCAGGCGAAGGCTCAAGGGGTCGACCGGGGGTGGGTAGGCTGGGCCAGGCGAGGGCCACAGGGGCTGACCGGTGGTGGTATGGCCGGGCTGGGTGAGGGCTCCGGGGGCCAACCAGTGTTTGGCAGGCCTGGCCGGATGAGGACCCCAGAGGCCGACTGGTGGTGGGCGGGCCGGGCCTGACGAGGACCCCGGGGGCCAACCGGTTGTGGGCGGGCTGGGCCGGGCGAGGGTCCCGGGGGCCGACCGGTGGTTGGTGGGGCGGGCCGTGCAAGGGCCCCAGGGACTGACTGGTGCTGGATGGTCCGGGCTGGACGAGGGCCCCAGGGGCTGATTTGTGGCAGGCGGGGGGGCCGTGCAAAGGCCCTGGGGGCCGGCCGGTGGTGGGCTGGCCGGGCCAGACGATGGCCCTGGGGGCCGTCATGTGCTGGGCGGGCCGGGCCGGGGGGCCGACTGGTGGTGGGCAGGCTGGGCCAGGTGAGGGCCCCAGGGGCCAACCGGTGGTGGGTGGGCCAGGCCTGACGAGGGCCCCGGTGGCCGACCGGTGGTGGATGAGCTGGGCCGGAAGAGGGCCCCAGGGGCCGACCACAGGTGGGCAGGCCTAGGCGGACAAGTTCCTTGGAGGCCGTCCAGCGGTGTGCGGGTCTGGCCCGACAAGGGCCCTGGGAGCCGACCGGCAGTGGGCGGGCCGGGCTGGACGAGGACCCTAGGATCCGACCAGCGGTGGGTGAGCCCGGCCAAATGACGGTAGCAGGGGGCGACCGGAGGTGGGCAGGCCCAGCCGGATGAGGGCTCCTGTGCCAATCGGCGGTGGGCGAGCCTGGCCAGACAAGGGCCCCAGTGACCAATTGTTTGAGGGTGGGCGAGACCGGATGAGGGCCCCAAGGGCCGACCGGTTGTGGGCAGGCCTGTCAGGACAAGGGCCCTGGGGGCCAACCGCTTTCGGGCGGATGGGGTAGGACAAAGGCCCCGGGAGCCGACCAGTGTTGGGGGAGACGGGGTTGAGCAAGGGAAACGGCCGGAAAGAAAGGCCTGGGCTCCCCCTCTCTC